GTCTGTCTGTCTGTCTGTCTGTCTGTCTGTCTGTCTGTCTGTCTGTCTGTCTGTCAGTTTCTTTCTTTCTCTCCCTCCCACCCCCTCTCTCATTCTCTCTCTCTCTCTCTCTCTCTTTCTCTCTCTCTCTCTCTCTCTCTCTCTCTCTCTCTCTCTGTGACTCTTGTCTCTTTTTAAGCCTCTTTATTTTCATCCCTCTCTTTTTCTTTCTCTCATTCACACAAACAAACTCTCATACACACACACACACACACACACATACACACACACACACACACACACACACACACACACACATACACATACACACACAGCACACAGCACACTAGCTCATTATTAACACGCCCCCTTCAGAGCTGCACAGTCCTGCTTCATCCACATGTCTTCATTCATATGTAGCTCCTCATTATTGAGTTGAAGTCTTCCTTATTTATTTTCTTCTCTCCTCCTCTGTAGTACGGTCCCAGGATGCGATCAGCATCTTGCTTAGTGAGTTCCTCTCCTGGGTAAAAAAACCCAACATACACAAATCTAATAAACAACGATTAAAAGCGTGTTATTATTTTGTATTTGCTACTGGGCTGGGAGTTGTAAGGTGAAAGAAGCAGAAAAGTTTGACAGAAGCCTTTATAAAAGCCAGCAAGATCTCTGGATATGATTTTACTAGAATTGATGAAATGTATAAGACCACAAGTATAAAAAATATAAAAAGTATTATAAACGACCCATCACACTCCCTTTCCATGCAAATTGTCAGATCACGCAGTGGCAGATATGTACCTCCAAAAGCAAAGAAAGAAAGATACCAAAGAAGTTTTTATACCATCTACCATAAGGGTATTGTCAGAATATTGCCCTTTCGAGAATATATCTATATAACTCTAAAAGTCTTGTAATTTAATTCGTGCGTGTGGTTGAATGATGCATCTGATGTGATATGTATATTTTGTCAGCTTTACTTTTCATTTCGTATTGCATTTTAAAGAGAGTAATACAATTTAAAGCTTTATGTATACCTGCATGTATTTTTACGGTTCTGTACAGCCAATAAAAAATTTCCCTCAGGGAGAATAAAGTATTGTCTTATCTTATATTACTGTTGTACGTCCAAATCGACGTTTTTAGACTGCGCCTAAATGGACACTTTTTAGATTATTCAGAATGCGGCAGCTTCAATCTTCGTGTTAAAGTTGAGTGGGCATCAGTATCTAGGAAGCCAGACACATAATATACAAGACTAGCTGGTCTCCCTTTCTATGAAAGAAATGATCGCTGTATTTACATGAACTGAAAGTCATTGGCCTACCTATATAGAGCAATAGATCTTGAGAGAAAAGTGACAAATGCGTTTTCAAGTTGTCAAATATATAATAGAAGCTGGTTATCCCGTTCGATGAACTGACTCAGAAGAACCGATCATCAAGTCATTGTAGGATCAGGGCACGCACTCTTTGTGAACGGAAGCCTCACTTGTTTACAATGGCGTCTTAGAAGACAGACTTTCCCAAGATTAGATCTGAACGAAACTAATGAAAAACTGAACATTCAACTACAGTGACATCAGACTCCTCAATAATACTAAATACTGTGTACTATTTAAATGATTCTGAACCACTTTTAATTTTTTTTCAAAATCGAAAGTTAAGTGGGTCGGAAGGTTTAGGCGACCAAAGTGACGAACTTTCTCAAAAATATAATATGTATAGATAATCTAACTTCTACACAAAGGAATTAAACTCTCGTCCTTTGCATGCAACTACAAAATGTTTAACTATTTCACCACAGACGCCCGTCTCAACAAACAAGCAACGCCTTTATTATTTCTTTTTTGTGTGCATAAAGTCAGTTCAACTCCATTCAAGCTGCCACGTTCGTGTGTAATCATTCTGTCCATTGTTCCAACCACGCATCACGAGACCCAAAATAGACCCCTTCCCCCAACATCTCCCTCTCTCTCTCTCTCTCTCTCTCTCTCTCTCTCTCTCTCTCTCTCTCTCTCTCTCTCTCTCTCTCTCTCTCTCTCTGTATATATATATATATATATATATATATATATATATATATATATATATATATATATATATATATATATATATCTATCTTTCTCTCTCTCTTTCTCTCCTATGGATGATAATTATTTAGTCTTCTTCTTTAATCGTCGTCTTGCCAGCTGTCATATTCGCCTATCTGTTCCCCAAGGAGTCAATTAAAAAACGGTAATAAAAATCATGACATTGAAACCACGTTGGCCTGGCCCCAAAACCAACTGAGCATGTCGCTCCAGGAGGTCAGGATTGTTTTTCTCGCTCTGTCCGTAATTGCTCTTCCTCTGCTCGTCACTTTTTGTCCTTTTTCAGGCAACCCCCCCCCCCCCTAGATTTCCAGGGGTGACCATCTTTTTTGTCACATGTTTATCGTTACATTTTATCTGTATGTCTGTCTGTCTGTCTGTCTGTCTGCCTGTCTGTATCTCTCTCTTTCTGCCTCTGTCTCTATCCTC